CTGAGCAATGGTAGTCCCAAGGGGGGGAATTAGCATGCCTCCTGCTGACTTGCTGCAGCCTTTTCAGGCGGGCTGTCGCCATGGTGTGACCAGAATCAAGTTGTATGCAAGGGAGTGACAGTGGCTGTCCACCGTTGGCAGGTAGTAACGTGATCCAATTATATCCATGGTTGATTTGCACTTGGTAGCCACCAAGATATGCGCTGAAATTGTGTATGTTGAAAATTTGTACTTGACAGGAACAGTTGGTGATCAGCATATAACTGGAGTCGCTCTCAGTTGCTTGTGCAAATCGACCGCCCAGATGCTATCCAAATCACCAGCTGGTCGGAGGATGTCAGTGCTGCTTGCTTGACGAATGAGCTCGGATGAATTTCACTAGAAGTTGTCATTCTCAGCTTTAAAACTGCAGCCCGTTGAGGTATATGACGCCACCAACCCCCTTTGGCCTTCCCGGCATGTTTGCACCTTGTGGAGCAAAGTTCCAACCAATGTATCCTGGGGGATTGTTGCAGCGCTGAAGCTCGGCCACCACGTCAAACTGCTTTAGGTCGAAACAGTGCTCTTTCACTGTAATCAATTTCACGAAACGCTTCAATTATGTTTATCTGACCCTTATGTATAGTCAATTTCGCCCACATTGAAGGCAAATTCTAATATGTGCATCTGAGTTACAGTCATTTAGGGCCCAAATTTCCATAGTGAAGATGCTGTTGACTGCATAGCGGATGTATTGTTTTGTTAACAACCGGATTAAACTTCCCAACGAACTCCTTTTTCACAAGCAGTCAGTGCCAATCCAGGGTTAGGGATAAAGTGAACTTTGAGGGAGGGGAGAATGGTAACATAAGCTATACGTACGACGTTCATCTTTAACTCCGATGACAGTCGACTGTGATAAGATGTCACCAGCGCGTTCTGCTGTATTACTCGGAGTCGAGCCACATATTGGAGCCAACATAGCTAAAGCGGGAAGGGTAAATTGGCGGCTTAATTGCAAACTAATGTACCTGCCACTGAGCCACGCGAACCTTTACTAAGGTACATGTGGATGATGCTCATTTTTTCCAGTCCGTCGGTGGCTCAGTTGATATTTTATCTCGACCGTCTTCGCCACTAGCGTGACAATAATGAATAGCATCGGGAGGAAAAGTCAGGCAAACATTTGTGAATCCGCCAGTCCGAATAATCTGTAAGGTACAGGTGTAGATCTTTAACGCTGGTGAAGTGAGCCGTCCATATGCTTGTAACTCCTAGAGATATCTGATATTTCTGTGAGGCATGTTCATGACCCTGGTTCACCTGACTGCATCCCTTCAGCCGCTGCACAGCTACGAATGCCCGCGCAGTCACAGTAAGTCCGCCATTGTCTTTGATCCTCGGGCTCCTTCCAACTTTCTGGTTAGATTCACTATGCAGCATTTCTACAAAGGCTCTTGTCTAACGGTAGGGCATTAGCTTTCACTATCAGTCCCGATGAGGGCTGTTCCCCAGGAAGGGCTAAACGTTCCTTTCTTCATGGTGTCTTGTCTCCAGCGGGATTATTGTGGATTTTACTACCAGAAAGTATCTAGGTGTGTTTAAGTAAGATGAACATGTGTAATGATCACATGCTGGCCGCAAAAGGGATGATCTCGCAGAGCTGGTGGAGGTTCTGAGTTAACAATGAAAATAAATGAATGAAGTACCACCACTGATTTGAGGTCTTACCTAAAGTAGTTACATGTGGTTGTTTCAGAGAAACAGGCCGTTATTTGAGGTCAAAATGAACTTTTCAATCAATTAGAAAGAGCTTGGAACCGATTGAGAAGTCATCGTTTCAGAAGAGCATGGTATAAGCTACCGGTTGTTTACCAAGCTCTTCTGAAACGATGACTTTTCATCAAAATTAACTTGTTTTGGTGCGTACCACTGTGTTCTGCAATATTGATGTATAACACCAAGAAGTTACAGTGTCTAGAAATTCACACATTCAACCAAACAGAACGGCCGACAAGTTTGCCTGGACTTTGTTCCTGTTTGTCTGGCACGCATTGATGTATCCTCTCTAGTTAGGGGTTGTTATTGATCCGCAGTCATTCACCTCCCGAAGAAACAAGGGTGCAGATTCCCGTCAATCTGGAAGGATTATTTTGCACTTCCAGTACAGAAACCACGTACCCCACATTGCCAATTTGATCGCCAAACTACAATCCTTGAGTGCATTTTGCTCATGGAATTTGATCTATATAAGCATCCCCAAACGTAGAGCCCCCTCTTTTGGAAGAGCTTAACAATGTCATCGTTTCTATCTTGGATGAAGGGATTCACTTTTACTGACTGCAGATACGTATGAACGATGTCGCTAGTGTGTTCGTTGTTTCCTTATGCATTCATTTTTAACCTTTTTGATCTTGTTCAAACTGTTTCACTGTAGAAACACCTTTACAAGACGAAAACAATGTAACTACTCATCTTGATGACACTCGATTCACTACTGGGTGCGACGCACTTGGTTAACGCTTCCGGTGAATCTAGGTCATCAGCTGGTCGTTGCCGTGAGAAGTCTGCCACAGACTCGAAGTTTTTTGTTTAACTAGCCAGTAAAAAGCGTTACAATGGGCTCAAACCATCTTGATCATATCTGGGGACTTTGGGTGACGAAAACCTTCCGGGATATCCATTATCTATAAGACTTCAACTTTGGTCGAGTGGGTGAGAACAAAGCCTGCAGTGGTACCAAGAAAATATTTCCCTCTGGGTTTAGCTTATTCGGACCCGGTTTGTTAAGACCAAGTACCTTGAAAGTCCCATTTTCCGTTGGCGAGCCAAGGTGAACTGACCAGAGGACGTGGCTTTCATCTCGCTAGACTCAGCGCAATCAGACGAATGCAAAC